ATTATAGTAGGCATACAGATGACTGCCACGGACTATAAATATCGTGCAATCTGTGCATGTATTATCCCACTCTGCGCATGTCTCACACTATCCTACGGTTGGCTATGATTAAGGATTCTCGACAGAATCGGAAACGTCAGGAAAGTGAATTTCCTGTTCCAGTGATCGCATCTTCTGGACTACTGGATTAGTATTTTTTTAAATTGATATTCTTATAGGTTCCGATGTATTTTATAGAAAGTATATACAAATAAACGTGTATTGTACTTATTTTGTGGTAAGGTGTGCTTTCTTTGACTCTTTTAGTTGAAAAAGATACGTGTTCATTATGAAAGTGTTTTATTGTATCCTGAATAATTCTGAAGTAAACATGACATTCAATTGCTTTTAGGTTTTGAAGCCACAAGTTGTGCGCTTTCCGGGTAAGCGAAATAAAGCATTCCTTTTTGTATTTAGACAGCAATCTTGTAGAGCTCAGAAAATGGTGGGATGGGATGGATCACGTTGTATACTTTCTAAGCAGCATTACTAAACAGACAGAAAGGGCACGCTTTTAAGAAAAATGGAATGATCTCAGCAACCTCATAGTTAACAGTATCTCATGAACTGGCAGCTATAATTTTTCAAGAAGAAAAGTAATCAAAACATAAAGTACACAATGAGAGCAGAAAGAAGAAAATTTATGTGCGTTTTGATTAAATGGCCTGGATGTAAATGGACATTGAAAATTCAAAGAAGTTATTTATATTAATGTGGTATTATTTTTTCGCAACTATGAGCCTTTTGGGTGACTGGAACGTGACGCAACTAAAAGCCGGCATTCTAGTATGCCTTAGGTCTTCCGCCTTCTAGTGTGCCTTTAGTTTTGCTGTTTGATATTCACTATTACAGTCTCATAGTAGCAATCCTTTCGAACCAGTATCAGTTGTCGGAAGTTCATAGTAACGGTTGACTAGATACGCCAACTACCACAATAATAATGAAGTCGGGTACACGCTTCCCATGCTATCATTTTTGTGGTCCTTGCAGTAACTTTGCTAACATTCTTGATAATAACAAAGAATTTCGGAGTTGACGGCCACTTACATAACCTAGGCAAACATTCGTGATTGTTGATGCCCGAAAAGCATAAATAGTCAGCCTAGGGAATAATACGATGAAACGCAATTCGCTTCAAATACATTTTCTTAGCAATTCCGACCTGATAATAAAACTATAATGAAAGATTCGGTTTTTGTCGGTTAAACAATTGAAGAAGAGAGGATAGTGAATTCGCTTTTTGATGAATGTTCGCAAGAGGCTCGAAACGTCGTTTATCGGGGCATATGAGCCTGAATATATAGTCAACATGAGGTGTTGCAAAAGCCGGCGAATTTGGCAAATGATTAAATGACGGAGAATAACGGAAGACTTACTGATCGCTCACCTTGCAGTCAGACGCTTTGTCTATGCTACTGTGACGAATGTTTTAATTTCCTTCTTAGGCTAGGAAGTGCAGTGACCTGAATTTATGCAAGACCCAGAAATGACGCAGTTAAGATGGCACACTAACCTGACGCGGTTGCAAAGAGGCATCTTTAAGGAGCAGGAAACGACGCAGAAGACAAAAGTTCCAAGCGTATGCAAATATAGGCCAAATTACTGCGGTGAGGAAACTAACCACCGTAGGCAGCTGCACACATGACACAGCCCATATTAGCGTCTCCAGCATTGCATAGCTAGGCAAAGCTCTATGCGAATTTCGTTTGAAAACAATGACCTCTCACTTAACTTTAGTTCTTCTATTGCCAACGCTGAGTGGCTGGTTATCTGACTTATCGGTGTTTGCTTAGTAGACGTCGGTTAGAAGTCATTTTTAGTTTGTTTGGTGTAATTGCTACCGTTAAGTGAATGTGACAGCTGAGCACCAGCACACCATTTTCCAATGAGCATTTACAAGGAAGCGATCTACTTGAACTGCTTCTCGGCAAACTTCTTATGTCAGAGTACTATCGACTCAAATCTGCTTCTCAATTGTAATCATACAGTAAGCCAAAACACACCAGCCCGGTGCGTCTTCTGCCTTTTCTTTCATCATAATTCAAGAAATATTCACGGAACTGCGGTGATAGGCCTAAATTCAATACCAGGTAAAATGTCTAAATTAAGTGTCATCATGTTGACTTTGAAATGAGTATCGTTCAAGTCACCTGAGTAAATTGTACTCAGATATAACCTTTCGAGTAATAAGTATTGTATGCGAAAATATTCGAGGTTCAGATAAAATATTGTTTCTATCGTCCCCGGAAGAGGAAGAAGGGGCAGCTCCTGAGACCAGATTGTATTTAAGCTGGCGTTC